CAACTGAACTCAGCTGAAGCTTGCTTTGTGTTTTAACTGTTACAGCAAGATTCCTTGGTCCTTGATTCACACAGGCCATAGTTAACACAGCTGCAAATTTTGGTGGATACTGGAAAGAGGTTTAGCATTAAGTTTGTTGTGGACCTGGATACCTTTGAGGAACATAGACCAGATTAGTGTATTTGGATTCTACTGCATCTGATCTCCATTCTGCATATTTTAAGCCCAAAGAGTAACAATGAGCCCAGTGTCAGTCTGGCTTCCCAAGTTTGCATGGACTGTCGGCTGTGACATCTGTCCTCAGCTGTGGGACCTTACAGATTGGCTGCACAGCTGAACGTGCTGCTTTTCCATATTATTTAAAGAAAAGTATTGTCTGCCAAAGTATTGTTCCCATGTGGAAGTAAACCCTGCTGTCAGTTTTCCTAAACTATGACTGGCAGTGAATAGTGTCCCTCTTTTTAAAAGAATAAGCTGAAATAGGTGTATATAGTTAGGTAGCATGTATGCACATTTAAATAATTTAAAACAGGTTAATGCCTGTTACACCTTATTTGGCTATTTTATTTTCATGAAATAGGTATATAGTTAGGTAGCATGTATGCACTTTTAAATTATTTAAAACAGGTTAATGCCTATTACACCTTATTTGGCTATTTTATTTTCATGTTGTGTTTTGCAGGAGGGAATTATAGGACAAGATCTCTTTTTTCAGTAGTAAGGCACTGGAACTGTTCACTAATAAAACCAGTGCAATCGCGTAAGCTCTGGCTAAATCACAGAACGTTTTTTTTCACTGTTGGTAAAAGTTACTGATAGGAGGGACTAACTTATGAGCTGAAGACTTTTTTACCCAAAACTAGTAGGTGGGTAGAGAAGCAGTGCTAATGGTTATGCAGTATTTAGATGGAGAGACTACAGTGGCTGCAGTATAAAACCAGTTTTTCTACTAAGGTTAAACTGCAGAGGAAGCAGAGGTTTAATACTCTTGGAACGATGGAAGTGTTGCAGGCCATTTAAAGAAATCTATTGAAACAAATTTGGAGAGAGGCAAATGCTGAATTTGTGTGCAATGTTTCCTTTTGATTGCTATAAAGGGATTCACCAACTGGAATAAGAGAGACTTTAACCAGTTCATCAAAGCTAACGAGAAGTGGGGCCGTGATGACATTGAAAATATAGCACGAGAAGTAGAAGGCAAAACCCCGGAGGAAGTCATTGAGTATTCAGGTAACTTACTCCAGTAGTCAGCTCTGTGAGTCCACATCTATGGTTTAAACTGCCTGCAAACATGGTGACGACTTGCTTCTGACAGTTTCTTATGTGGCTTTTGAAGACTTTCAGGGTAGAATTGTACTGATGGATTTGGGAGCTACTGATCTAGATTCTGCCATGTTTAACCCCTCATAATTAAAGCTGCACTAAAATGTGCATATAAACTGTTACTGACCCACTGTCATATATCCTAAATAACTCCATAGTGCTGTCTCCAGTTCTTGTCAATTTTTGCAAAATGAAATGCTTAGCTGGGAGATTGCACTTTCCTTGTAGTCACTAACTAGTAGTTTTCTTGAATCTTTACACCTTTATTACCTCATCGTTATCAAGAGTGAGATACAGAAAATGTTTTGTGACTCAATATATAATGGCCATTGGTTTTTGTAACCTAAGTCTACTTGGCTACTTACCTCTGATGTCTCAGAAGTGTTTTCTACTCTAGTGCAGCTGCAAGGTCCTGGGGCTAAATTTCTACAGGTATAGCAGCTTTCAGAGGTGAAAAAGTCTTTAAAAAACCCTCTTATTTAAACACCTAAATGGTCCTTTAGACATACCTGCTCTTGTCTTTGGCCACTCGGTCACCCACCCTCTGGCTTCCCTCTGTAAAAATGTATTGCTGTTAAAATGGAAACTGAGACAAGCAGCTCTTTTCTTTGAGAAGGAGATTGTGTCGCACCTCATTTGAGCGGAAGAGTCCTGTATCTGCCCCTTTCAAAACAGCATTTGCAATACTGCAGCACGTGATGCCAGGCAATGAGGGTTCCTTATGGGGTAAAGGCATGCCTGTTTTTATACAGCAGTACGTTCCGCTAAAAGGAAGTAACATCTAACATTGAAGTAAAAAAAATGCCCTGACTTTTCATATGCGTGGTAAGAAACTAACTGATTGTTCTGTTCTTAGCTGTGTTCTGGGAAAGATGCAACGAACTCCAAGACATCGAGAAGATCATGGCTCAGATAGAAAGAGGAGAAGCCAGAATTCAGAGACGGATCAGCATAAAAAAAGCACTTGATACGAAGGTATCTTTGCTGTGTTTCTTGCTTCTCTTATTTCCCTGTGCCAGTGAGGTGAGATGTGGGACTCTGTGTCTAGCCAACGTTTCCAATGTAGGAAGACAACAATATGCCTCTTGTGCATATTACTCAGCAGCTGCTCCCTATAGCTCTTCTGTTCTGTAGAAGTGCCGTCCTGGCCGATAGCGATGATGAGAACTTTAGGGATGGCCTAACCTGTTTTTTGTAACAATCATCTTTATCATAGGACAGACAACAGTTCATAGTGCTGTAGAAAAACTCTTCAAAGAAGCAGAATTTCTTTTGGATCCATGTAACCAAAAACATGCTATATATATACACATTTCTAACACTTAAAAAGGGAAAAGTAGCCAAGCAGAGGCGGCTTTCGTTCTGATCTGTGTTTCACCAACCAGGGTTTGGTAATGAACAGATGTGCAGTAAATTTAAGACTGTGTCAGAATATTCCCCCCACTTCAGGTGTGACTAGTTTTCTCTTCTAGGGAAGTCAGGGGAAGAACCGTGCCTGACTCATTAACCAGAATGCAGCTGGACTGTGTGCTACAGCTACAGTGTCACGTACCTTTTTACTCCTCTTCTGATTTTGACCACTCCCGAGAATTTGTATGTTAAAAAGGATCATTGCCACGTGAAGCCTGGCAGATCGTGGCATTTTTCAAACAGGTCTGCGGTCTGCCGTTAATCAAAAGACAAAGCTTTCTGTTGTCTACACAAGAATTTAGCAGTTTAGATGGTTTTGGTAAATGCACCATCTAGAACCCACAGCTCCTTACCTTGTGGTGACTTAGCACCAGAGACGGTAGAAGATGGAGTTCTCTCGCTTAGTGTTGTTCATCCGCCTGTCTTCGTGCGATGTGTTGCTTTCATATGAAACAGTTCCATTCCGATTCTGAACTGCTTCTTGGTTGTATATGAACTTATTCGTTTTGTTTAGATTGGCAGATACAAAGCCCCTTTCCACCAGCTAAGGATATCATATGGTACTAATAAAGGGAAGAATTACACCGAAGAGGAGGATCGCTTTCTAATCTGCATGCTCCACAAGCTAGGATTTGATAAAGAAAACGTCTACGATGAATTAAGACAGTGTATCCGAAACTCTCCGCAATTCAGATTCGACTGGTTTCTCAAGTCCAGAACGGCAATGGTACGTGTTCATCTGGTTTGCTTTTTGTTCATGAATGCCTGTGACAAGGCGGTTATACACCGGGCTAATGAAATACTTCTGAAATACTGAGGTGTGCGCAAATTGTTATAGGCTTTCCAGCAACTGTAGTGGATGGTAAATGCAGTAAATGAAAAAGTCTTTTGGGAGGAGAAATTAAAAATTCCAAGGTGCTGTTTTTCAAAATCAACATGAATGAGTTAAACATGTTTTAAAAAGCAAACAGCTGTGATCAGGTCCATTCCTGTAAAGCCAGCCAGTATCTCAACAAATATTCCATTCCTTTTTCCCTCTGCCAAGATACAGCAAAAAACTTTGACCTAGTTACAGGCATTTCTAATATTCTAATAGGATTTTTACATTAAGTGGCTGTCTAATGTAGTGAATGAATATGTCATGCAATTTAGGAGCTGCAAAGGAGATGCAATACTTTAATCACCCTGATCGAAAGAGAAAACATGGAACTGGAAGAAAAGGAAAAGGCAGAAAAGAAGAAACGTGGACCAAAACCATCTTCGGTAAGATCTAAATAGGCGTTTCTGTGGAAAAGCTCATTTGAAGACAGGGTGCTTTTCTAATTGTCTAGGAAAAGTTGTACGTAAAGGCATTTAAAAACAACATTTAAAAACCTTACAGGGCACACTGTTAAGAGCTGCTTAAAGTTCACACTGCCATTCAACTAGTACGGGTGTGGACATGGAATGAAGGACAGTAAGTCCCAGGTTACAAATCATAGCTCACATGCTCAGAACGTTTTGGATCACTGAGTTGGTACGCTGGATAAAACAAACCAGAGGTTTCGTTGGCCTTTTGATTAATTTTTATCCGTAAACTACATGTTTACCACTGAGAGATACCCAGGTGACACAGACCATTCATTCCTGACTAAATTCAAAGTATTGCAAAATAGGCAGGCCTGTTTTGTAAAGTACCAGCTGCACCCATTTTCTTGCCTGGTGGTGGTGTTCAAGTTGTTGCCTTGAGCTGTTGTATCAAAAACTTTGAAGCACAACTTTGCAGATGTGCAGAAATCAGTCAAGTTGAGTGGTGGATGAATGTTTCTTAGAACCTGTTCACATATTTAAACAGGTATTTGGCAAGACCATTTCATAAACAGGAAGCTTTACAACATCCTTATCTGATTCTATACACTTGTTACCTCTATGAAATGTACTCTTCCAGAATTGGAAGAAAACAAAAAAAAAAAAGCTGTCTTGAGGAGGATGTGCACATTTGCCATATTACAACATTTGCAATTTATCCCGTTTCAAAGCTGCCAGAGTGTAAATCAGACGCATTGCTTGCTTGCAATCTTTTTGTATCACAATAACTTATGAAAAAACTTACCTTACAGGCACAGAAGCGCAAAATGGATGGTACTCCTGATGGTCGTGGAAGAAAAAAGAAGCTAAAGCTGTGAACACAGAATTTTTGTAATCACTAAATTTAAAAAGTAGTTCTTTAATTTACGGGTCTTCATAAGATGTACTGTATAATGCTCAACTATTATGTCATTAAAGGACATCGGGTTCATCTGTTTACTGAACTAGAGACATAGTACTTAATGTAGTTTCACTTTTTTAAATGCAACAGCTGAGCTGAATTTTTTTTACCATTAACACTTGAAGTAATAAATAGGCTTCATTTATTAATAAGGCTTCACGTGACTTTTTTTTCATTAAGGTTTCTACTTGAATACCTATTTATTTAGTCACCCCCCAGATTTTTTCCTCTTAGGTTGAACACTTTTCCCATTATGATCAATAGAACTATTTAGTTGTGTTTTCTTGTTACAAGCCACCACCAGTCAAACCCCTGTTTCTAGAAATCCTGTGGCTCTGACCTTACCTTTATTGAACTTAATTGTGCTGCACGAATCTACTCTGTTAATGATGGACAGACATACAGATTGGAACAAGATAACATTTTTTGCTTGCAGGCTGTGCCAGAAGAAAGGTAAGTCAGGCAGTCATACTGAGGTTTGTACTTCAGTAGAAGGGCCTAAGAATCATAGAATTGTTTTTATTGGCAAACAGCAACAAGATAGAACAGGAAACGTAACAATATGTAAAAATATGTAAACCAGCCCCCTTCTCTCAAACAGCTGTGGTAAATGCAGAGGCAGTCTTGATTGCTGTGAGAAGAACCGCTGCTGCCTCCAGGTGTGCAGGATCGTTCCTCTGGCAGTCCACACCATTCACGGAGGTTCAAACTGTACCAGCACGAGTGTTTCCTGCGCTGTCCTGTCTTTTATGTCACCTGACATACAGTGACTGAGATGAAATCGGGTGTTTCCCAATGCCATCATCTACTATGGCATAATTTGGGAATTTACTAGGAAGAAAAAAAAGGCAACCAACCACAGAACAAATGCTCAGTTTGCATTGAGTAATCCTTGCTCAGTTTTGGCCCTTTTAAGAACACATATCAAAAGGCATCAGTGTTGTGTAAACAGGAAGAAATGCATCTCTAGAAAAAAAATGAGCTTTTTGGAGCTTAAGCACTTAAGCAAAATGAGACTTAGAAGAAGCTGCGCATTCCCACATGTAGATTTCATGTGCAGCAGTACAGTTCTCACTAGTCTCTATTTGCAGGTGACTGATTTGCAGCCACCAGGTGAGATGAGGTTGCGTAACCATGCTTTGCTCTTCAAAAAATCAAAAGAACTTGGTATGGACAGCAGGGTTAAGAGCCAATCTACAACACTTTACAAGTTGAATTGTCATAGCGCCCTAGAAGACAGCAGGCTAACTGCTTACACTTAGCATAACCAAAACGAAAATGCTGCAATGCTGAAGCCTTCCTTTACAAGAAGCCCTTTGCAAAGCATCCCTTTTCAACAAAAAAAAACCCAAACACTATCAAAAAACACAAGCCACCATCTGGCTTGTTTACAACTAGCCTCAATAAAAACCTTTAGAGGAAGCAGAAGGGCAAGAGCTGTTAACTCGCTGAGCAGCACGTCATTTGTGCTAACAAGTCTCAAGTGCCAGCAGGCAGAAAGCGAAAGGAACTAAACCTTGATCTCCCAAATGGCATCCTACTAGTTACAGAAAATCCATTTTCATTCAGGTAGAAGTGAAAAATGAAGCCAAGTATTTGCTCTAGACAATACCGGTAGGTTCCCCCAGTGCCGTCTGGCCAAACAAGCTGCCTTGTATGTGCCTGTACTTCGATGCTGTAGTGCTGTATCAAGCAAAGGCAGGCAGGCAATTAGTGTACGACATGGGAAAGTAGTCCTCGTTAGCATTGTTCTGAAGTATTAGGATCCCTTTAGGCATGTTTGAAAGCACTTAATGTCAGCACCTAACTGTTTTCCAGAGTGGCTTTGCAAATACAGTTCTAATTCTCATTGATCACACCTGGTGCTCTCCTTGCAGATAACTGCAATTACACCTTACCTGTGTGAGCCTCCTGCCGCTGTCCGTATGTCCGAGAGCCGCATTGAAATATGAGACAAAACTGCTGGTATCACTCATAAAAAAGTACACCATCATCTACTACTTAGTTTGCATTCTAATACTAATACCTTCTTCCTTCCCCAGCAATAGCTAGCTATAAAAAACAAGAAAAAACAGAACAAAACAAAAACCAGATGAAAGCTAGATACTGTACATGCAATCAAAGCCAGCATCCTTCTAAGCACCAACCTTTCATGGTGGATAAAAGACATCTTTACTGCTGCATATATTCAGAAGATTAAGAAAAAAAGGAAAAAAGCATCAACTCCCATTCAGTGAGTACGAGTTTGGTTTCTGTCCGTCAGTGACACACAAACTATTACACCAACCCTGTTAGAACCGGAGTCGGCCACGAGCGAGATGGGAGCCTGCTTTTTGGTGAAGCTGCATGTTAAAAGCCAAGCACCCGAGGAACTGGTGAGACTTCTGAACTGCTGGTGTGGCACGTGGTCACGGTTTCACTGCTGCTGGAGTGGCTGATGGGTGCCTTGCTTTTCCCAGCAGATCCCTGTTTCCTGTGCTTCAACAAAAAGAGAGTTACGACCACAGCGCAGATCAGAAGCAGCAGTCCTGTCACACCTCCAGTAACAGACACAATACTGTTTCCAGAGTCCCGGCTTGTCACTTCCAGAACTGGCTTGCGATGTGGCTCACCAGCTGGGGACCACGTCCTTCTGGATGATGCCAGCCTTGTCAGATCGGTCAAGCGCAACGCGCTGAATATTTGTGCCCATGTTTTTATCTGCTCCAATGTCTTGCATGAAGTCTGGGGCATCTGGGTTGGCTCTTCTGCTGCGTTTCAGGGCTGCGGTGCTAACTCTTTAGCAGAGGACAACGCATGGTGGTAATTCAAGACTTCTTTTGCTGTTGTGCCTGTGTGCATTTTCCTTTGATCGGACCATGTAAATAGTATGAATGTACTATTCTCAGCCAGCTGCCACCTTAAAAAAAAAAAACAAAACAAACAAACCAAAACCCCAAACACATAAAAACCCCAAAACTCAGAACAACCCGTCCCCCATGCACATTGACTATAAACTGGAAAAGACCACGCATCAGATGCGACATCTGTCTGGATCAAAGTTTGCTGCTAAATATGTCTAATTAAATGGCAGAAATAGGCACTTGGAGATGAAGCCTCTCTTTTCTTAATGCAGACTGCTGAAGTAGCTCAGATAAACGAGGTTCTAAGCTGCTTCTTTCTAGTGTTAATGCAGAAAGGCTACTGCCTTTACCTACAAAAACACTGCAGACTAGGTAATTTGGGCAAGAACCACCCCACCTTCTGCTACCAGTCCCAGGTGTGCACGCCTGCAGTGACAGCAAGGCTGCAGAAAGGCAGCTCAGGGTTACACAGCGATGCTGTCGTCGTTTCCACACTGTTGGAGAGAGGGAAGCAAAGTCGACGTGTTGCTGAAGTCTGTGCCCGTGATAACTTGCATGCTCTGTTCTCCACCTCAGTCATCTTTTAGCATGAAAGAATTTCTGTGATACACTTACCAGACACAACTTACCTGGA